TAACTTTTAGTGCCTTCCTAATTACAGCAGGAGCCAACAGCCAGCTGTTCTTTGAAATGCACGTTTTGGGGCATTGTCACAGAAGAAATTAGAGCAAAAATTGCTTGATTTTCTCCGATCATTTGGGAACAAGACCGCAGCCCTAGCCCATCCCATTTCCACTTCCCACTTTCCTCCTGCACAGTTTCCTCATGGCTGCCTTCACCTCCCTGTTCTGGAGGGTGTAGATGAGGGGGTTGAGCATGGGTGTGATGAGCGTGTAGAACACGGCCACGCTCCTGTCCTTGGACAGGTCACTGGACGGGCGGATGTAAACAAACGTGGTGGGCCCAAAGAACAGGATCACCACAGTGATGTGGGACCCGCACGTGGACAGGGCCTTGTGCCACCCCGACAGCGTCTGGCCCCTGAGGGAAACCAGGATGACCCCGTAGGACGTGACCAGGATGAGGAAGCAGCTCAGGGATATGACTCCGCTGTTGGCCACCGCGGCCAGGCCCTCGGCGCGCGTGTCGGCGCAGGCCAGGTGGAGCAGGGGGTGGACATCACAGAAGTAGTGGGCGACTCTGTTGGGGCCACAGAAAGGGAGCAGGGCGATGGGGAGGGTCTGGAGGGTGGAATGCAGGAAGCCCCCAGCCCAGGAGACCCCCACCATGCGGCCGCACAGGCGGCGGGACATGAGCGCAGGGTAGTGCAGGGACCGGCAGATGGCCATGCAGCGGTCGTAGGCCATGGCTGTCAGGATGAAAATCTCTGTGCAGCCAAAAAAATGAACCCCAAAGAGCTGCCCTATGCAACCTGCAAAGGAGATGGTGTTGTTTTCCACCAGGAAGCCAGAAATCATTTGGGGAGCTGTGACAGAGGAGTAACAAATATCTACAAAGGACAGGTGGCAGAGGAAGAAATACATGGGGGAGTTGAGGTGCCTGCTGCTCGTCACAGTGAGAACTATGAGATTTCCTGCCACTGTGAGCGTGTAGAAAAGCAAGAACACCACAAAATATATTTTCTGCACCCCTTGGTTCTCTGAGAGGCTCAGGAGGATGAATTCCTTCATGCTGCTGGAGTTTTCCTTGCCAATCTACTGGGCAGTGTGCAGTGCAGAGCCTGGAAATGTGGAAAGATAAAGACAAAATTATTAATCAGTTTTTTCATTGTTAAAAATTAATTCTTTATCAGAAGAGCATTGTCTCTAATAAATACATAGGATTAGAATTAAGTTTATCAAGTGCCTTTTAAATTTGTTTTAGTTTTTGCTTGGTTTTTTGTTGTTCTTCCCCTCTTCATGTTTAATTTCCCTTGTATGAGACACAGCCATAGAATCATAGACTCCTGGAATGGTTTGGGTTGGAAGGAACCTTAGAGATCATCTAGTTCCAACCCCACTGGATCCCTTTGGGACTGGATCCATCTGATCCAGGCTCCTATTTTATGATTTTAAAATAGAGCAAAATCAGAAATTCCTGTAGAGGCAAAAAGCTGATCAAGCACTCACAGGAAATGCTGAAATGTAGAAAAACCAAAATTGCTCTCAAACTCAAAAAAAGTGGAGTCTAAAAAGGAAGTTGTGAAAATTTGGGGCTTTTCTTGTGCTTGCAGTTTTCCTGGCAGGAGGTAAAACATACTCAAGAGAGGGGATAAAAGGAGGGTCTTACCTCTAAAATCATCTGTTCAGTCACTGACTAAAGGTACATGATTTAGTGCAATCAATTGCAATATGAAATAAATACAATGTGGACTGTTATAATTCCAAAAAAAAGGATAAGGAATTGCACCATCCCCTTATTGCAAGAGTTTTCCCCTAAAATCTCAGATGTTAATTGAAAAATAATTCAGTAAGCTGATTTGGGACTGCAAAATCAGTTCTGCACATGGTTACGGCCAAAGAGAGCCAGAGATGGTTGACAACTTCAGGGGAAATTTCTTTTTGTATTTTCACATTTGTCAAGAAAAGGGCAGGGAGGGGGGAAAGAGGAAAGGAAATCAAGAAAAGGAAAGAAAAGAGGAAAGGGAAAAGATCCTGGAAAACTTACCTCCTCTGTGTTTGGAGATCTAATTTTTGTGTAAGAGCTGTGAGATTTTACATCCCCAACATCTCCCTTTCCTGGTAGAGGCTTTAAAGAACATAGAACAGCTTCTGAAAAGCTTCCAACACTTGCTTAGGAGGTGCCTTTTTAATCCCACAGCATTTAATTCCTTGCTTTCCTGTATCACCAAGTGTATCCTGGCTTTTCCTGCCCGTGTTAGAGCTGCTTGGAGGGACTGTGGGCACTGAAGTGTGCACACACAGCTCAGAAACCAGAGAGGAAAAAAAACCTGTTTAAGTAACTTTCTTCAAACCTCTCCAAGGAAATCTTCTTCCTCCAGGGCTTAATTCCCTGTTTACACAGACCTCCTCTTTCCTCTCCAAGGAAATCTCCCAGCCCAAGGGCTCTTGGGGCTGGAGGAGGGAGGTGGGAATGCTCAGTGGTGGGAAGGAGAAGAAATTAATCCCATCCTGCCAGGGGAAGTTTAGATTGGAGTTTAGGAAAAATTTCTTCACTTACAGGGTGGTCCAGCCCTGGCACAGTTTACCGAGAGCAGTGGTGGAGTCACCATCAATCTGGAGGGATTTAAAACGAGTGTATGTGGCACCTGGGGACATGCATTAGTGTTGGCACTGCTGGAGAATGGAGAGGGCTTCTCCAACCTTAACAATTCCATGATTCTTGGAAATAACAGCCAATAGATTAACTGAATATTAAATTGGGCAAGCAAGTGATGTGACCTGGTCGAGTTAACGTTCCCAGACTCTGCCATTAATCCATGCTTTGTGCATTTCCCAAGTGTAAAGACCCCTTAGATCCACAGCTTAGGCTTTATAGCACTGTGAGTAATAAAGAATAAAATTGTGAGGATTTTTAAATCACTGTGTATCCCAAGAAAACTCCTCAAGCCCTCATGAAAAAAAAAATCTGTGAGTTTTCTAGTAGTAAGAAGAGAGATGGAAGGTGGCTTGGGTCACTTCTTGATGACCCTCCAAGACCCTATTTTCCATGAAATTTCATCACTGGTAGCCCAGGGAATGAGGCCTTTTGCAAGAACTTGCACGTTTCAGCAAAGGTCAGTGAAGTAAAGAGTAAGTAAAAGAAAAAAATCCTTATTTTATTGGAAAACTGAGGGAGGGGATGAAATCAGCTCTTGTACATCTGTGGAAGTCAGCTGAGTTGAGCCTTTGCCATTCCAGGCTTTCCTCTGGAAAGAAATGGATCTATTCACTTAATCAGTTAGGGGAAATGGCTTTAGATGACAGAAGGTGGGGTTAGATGGGATATTGAGAAGAAATTCTTCTCTAGGAGGGTGGTGAGACCCTGGCACAGGGTGCCCAGAGAAGCTGTGGCTGCCCCATCCCTGGAAGTGTTCCAGGACAGGTTGGAGCAACCTGGGATGGTGGAAAGTGTCCCTGCCTGTGGCTGGGGGTGGAATTGGATGAGCTTTAAAGTCCCTTCCAACCCAAACCATTCCAGAATTCGATAAATTTGTGTATTACTTCCACTCCAACTCATCGGTTCTCTGAAGTGTACTGTGTATTTTCAACTTGTGATTTAGGTGCATCAATAAGTAGTTTCATCCACTGCCCATCCCTTTGTTTTGCTGGTATTTATTGAAATTCAGAATGGCTCAATAACAATAAAGGCACTTTGAATGTCTCCCAACACGGAATGCCAGCAATCCATGCAGAGAAAATGGGAACCCTTATTTAGTGAGGAAATTAAATAGTGCTCTGAATAAAAATAGTATTTTAATTTAAATATAATTTTACACCGTAGCCTGGAGTCCTGGCCAGGTTAATGAGGGTTGTCAGTAATCACTCTAGGAAATAGGATTGGGTAAGAAAGTAAAAACAATCATACTATCTTTGGGAAAGGAAGAGGAAGAACTGATGACAACAGAAGCTGAAGATGTAAAAATGTGTTTCTGACCTGCTAAGCAGATTTGGACTGGATCTTCCGGTTGCTGTGCCTGCTAACACACATGGCAGCCATTTGGGTGGCGTCACACTTCTGTCCCTTTACTTCCCTGGCCCAAGGGACTAAGAGGGGAGGCTGGCCGTTCCCCAAAATAGTTCCCTGTAAGGATGTCAGGAAAGGAGAAAGGTGTTTTTACTGTTTCCATGGCCTTTGGCAGGTGGATCTGGGAGGCTCATGGACATGGAGTGTGCATGGACAGGAACTGAGATGTTGTGAGTGGGTGCTGGTGGGTTCTATCTGTTTAGGAGACACAAGGTGAGGAAGAGCCTGCAGCCCTGTTCAGGGGGAAGTTGTGAAACTGGAAGTGAAAGGCATGGGGCTGGAGGGATTTTGTGAAATCAGAAGTACCGAGGGGTTGAAGGACTGTGCTGAAAGTCTGTGGGGTGTGAAGGTGCACTGAAAGAGCTCCATGTTGAGGGCAGCACAAGCAGAGTTTGGGAACTGCTGAGATGGGAAGTTTGGGTGCAAGGTTGGATGAAGCAGTAGGGACCCATAAGGTGCTTGAATTGTGCTGGCAGAGGCTGCAGGTCAGAAGAGGACCCACTGTGGTGACGGGTGTGTGACAACTGGGCAGGGACAGGAGGGAATGAGAAGTGCTGAGAGAGGTTGTGAAACCTCCAGCAAAGATGTTACAGGAGAGGACTTAAAATTTCTGTACCTGAGCAGCACTAAAACCTCCTCTTCAGGGGATGTGAAACCAGAGCACCTCAGGGCCTCGAGTAGGACACAACACCTAGTTGTGCAAGTGCAAGGTTTGTACGGACAGCTCTTGCAAGAACAGCTGAGGAAGGGAGAAGTAGTAAAAAGATAATGTTTCCATGACACTGCAAAGAGGGGAGAGGGAAGTGGTTCAAATCTAAATGATCATATTCACACAGAGGAGGTATTTCCCCCCCCGAGTGATTGGCTGCCTGGAGGGTCACGCTGAAACCACCATGGCTTTTTAAACAGTGGCTGCCCAGCCCAGCACTGCAGGATGACACAAGGACTTGAGCTGCACCCTATGTCACACAGTCCAGGGGACAACATTGCCGGGCACAAGTGCTGAAATTCCCAGGAACACAAGAAAGGTGAGAAATTCTGAGATGGGTCTTTACACTCTGATGTTTCTGTCATGCTTTGAGGAAAGGAAGAGAAACAAAAACAATGGAGGAAAAAAGACAGAAATTTCTGTAGGTCAGGAATTGATGATAATAATTTTCAATATAAGGAAATCTTCATTCCAGGGATTCTTTTCCATGTACAAGTGTTCTTGCACTGCTCTAAATGCACCTCTGTAATATAAAAAATCATTACTCAGAGATCTGGCATTACAACAGCATAACTTTCTGTCCATATTCTGAGACATCTTTGTGGAGTCAGGGTTGTTCTGCCTCAGGAACTACAGGCAGAATTTGCAGGCAAACCACAGGGAGGATGTTTAACCTCAACAGGAAAAAACCACCTGGACTCACGCTGCTGCTGTTTGAAGAGAGCTTTCCGTTATTAGTTACATAAGGAAGTAGAAGCACATCTTGAATGTGTCTTGGAGACAGGAAATCAGTCTGTCCAAGGGAATATGATAAATAAACGAGAACAGTGAGTGACTTTTGCGGTGTTCTTCTCCATGGTCTGCAGAAGTAAGAGAGGGATTTTGTCACTTCTATTACAGCAGATGTTTTGTCATTTACCCGTTGCAGCCCTTTCTGTTCCTGGCAGTCTTTATGCACATACAGCACCTTCCAGTTCCTAAAAGTGCTCCAAGACATCTGGAGAGGGACTTTGGAGAAGGGCCTGGAGTGACAGGGGTATTGTTCTAAACTGGAAGATGGTGGATTTGAATTAGATCTTGGGAGGAAATTCTTCCCTGTGAGGGTTGTGAGGCAGGAGGAGATGTGGCTGCCTTATCCCTGCAAGTGTCCAAGTGCCCAAGGCCAGGTTGGCAGAGATTTGGAGCAACCAGGTCTGTGAAAGGTGACCCTGGCTGTGGCAGGAGATTTGAACAACATGAGCTTTAAGATCCCTCCCAACCCAATCCATTCCATGATTCTATGACATGATCAATGGCACAAAGCCATTTAACATTGGGAAATAATTACCTGTCATTCCCTGAATCCCCAGTAGAGAGAGATGCAGCTCTGAAGGCTGCAGTGGGCTGAGACAGAGCTAAGGTGATACTCAAATGTTCACACCCTCTTCAGATCCATCCAGATCGAGTGGAAATTTGGTTGCACAGAAACCAGGAAACCACTTAACCACTGGGTGGGTCTTCCTGTGTTCTAGCAGCAGAAGTGCAGCACATAACTTGAGGCTGGTTTTGGTAATTTCTGCAAAAATATGATCATTTGTGGCCACGCCTGGAGCAGGTTTTGAGGGAGGAGCAGCCCCAGGCTGCTCTCCAGAGTCTTCATTTAAGAAGTGTTCAAGGTGCCATAAGAGCTGATGATGGGATCATCAAGCTCTGCAATGCCAGCAGGTCTCTGGTTTCAGTCAACTCTAAAGGAAATCATAGAATCCTGGAATAAATTGGGTTGAAAGGGACTTTAAAGCCCATCCAATCCCACCACTAGCCCAGGTTGATCCAAGCCCCATCCAACCTGGCCTTGAAATTCCCTGCACCACACACTTCTTTTCCCTCTGTCTGTGGGGTCAGCATGCCTGGAGTGCTGGGATGGAACAGCAGTGATTCAGTTTGTCACATTCTGGGTGCTTTTGGAAGTCTGACTCCATGTGTGCTGCTGCACCACGAAGAGAGAACAGAGGATTCATGCTGGCTACATGGTTCAGTGATTCACATCTTCCCAGAAAACCCAATTTTTTTTGTTCCTCTCCTCTTTTTTAACTTCTCTGCCTTCCATGTCCAAATTCAGAGCTGGTTGGAGGACAGCAGAAGAACAACTGTATTTGTTCTCATCAGACCAAAAAAAAAGGTGTTAAACCTTTTTTTGTTTTTTTTTCATTGCCAAGATTCTCAATCAGATCTCAGTACCATGGTGAAGGAAACAGTGACCTAACTCAAGGAATGGTGTAGAAAAGTTATAGAGCCACAACTCACATGCCCTGTGAGGACGAGATAATCTGTGGTTTCTTACATATGATTCTTTCAATTTCTGAAGGAGAAGCAGAGGGCTCTGCCAGACCAAAATATTTATTTGTTACTGTACATGAGACACAGGACAATCACATCAAATGGCACTTTATTAAAACAGAAATCACTCGTCAATATAAAAAAACTACCAGTTGTTCTCATGGAATCACAGAATTCCAGAGCGGTTTGGGCTGGAAGGGACCTTAAAGATCATCCATTTCCAACCCCCTGCAATGAGCAGGGACACCTTCCAATATCCCAGTTTGCTCCAGCCTGGCTGTGGACCCCTCCAGGGATGGGCAGCAAGAGTTTCTCTGGGTAACCTGTGCTAGAGCCTCACCACCTCCCAGGGAAGGATTTATTCCCAATATCCCATCTAAACCCACACCGTGTCAGTGTGAAGCCTTTACCCTTTGTCCTGTTACTCCAGGCTCTTGGTCCCTTCCAAACCATATTATTTTGAGATTCCATGAAATCAAGTTCTAGCTACAAAACCTTGGAGAAACCAAGGAACCCCTCTAGATAAGTCACCCTGGAGTTACCACCTCTCCCCTCTCTGCCCCCAGGTCTGAGTCACCATTATGAGACCCTCAACCACACCAATCCTCCCTCCAACCACAGCCATCCAGGCTCCTGGGACCAACCAGAGCGGGGCTGTGGGACTACCAGAGCCATCCTATGCTGTCCTCAAGTTCATGGAGAGCTTCTGCCTGCTGAGTGCTGCCTGTGGCATGGTGGGGAACGGCCTGGTCCTGTGGTTCCTGGGCTTCCGCATCCGCAGGAATCACTTCACCGTCTACATCCTGAACCTGGCGGCCGCCGATTTCGGGTACCTGCTGTGCATCGCCGTGGAGACCGTGCAGTACCTGATGCAGTTCAACGTGGGGGTGCAGTTTGGGATATTCCTCTTCCTGGATCTCTTCATGTACGGCACGGGCCTGTACCTGTTGACGGCCATCAGCATTGAGCGCTGCCTGTCCGTGCTGTCCCCCATCTGGTGCAGGACACACCGCCCAAAGCACCTGTCTGCCGTGGTGGCTGGCCTGCTCTGGGCCCTGTCCCTGCTCCTGAACACTCTGGGATATGTTTTGTGCACCGTTCGCCCCTCTCCCAGGGTCTGCCGGCGCCTGCTCATCGCCATCGGAGCCTTGGATTTCCTCGTCTGCACTCCCCTCATGCTGCTCTTCAGCCTCACCCTCTTCCTGCGGGTCAAGTGCAGCTCCCAGCCCTTCCAAACGGGCCGGCTCTTCATCGTCATCATGCTCACCATCCTCCTCTTCCTCATTTTTGCCGTGCCCCTCAGTGTCCTCATCCTCCTGGACTTCCTGGGCCACAAGTTCCTGTATTCCCCGGAGATTGGCTTTGTGCTGTCCTGTGTCAACAGCACCCTCAACCCCGTCATTTACTTCCTGGTGGGAAGCTACAGGGATCGGAAATTCAGGCTCACCCTCAGGCTGGCATTCCAGAGGGCTTTCCAAGACTCAGCAGATGACAGAGATGAGAGGGAAACCCGGGACACGGTAACCATGTCCTCCTGAAATCCTGCCTGGAATGTCTTGGCAGAACTGAAGAACTCCATGGTACTGGAGAAGGTTCATCTCACCTGACCTTCAGTACCCTCTTTGTAGATATTTTAGGTTATTATTTTACGTCCCCATCTGTGGCACATAAGCATCTGTATTTACCTGACCTGTATTTAGGACACGTTAAAAGTTCCTGTTTCTTTCCAGTGACTTTTAAATAATATTAATTTTATTGATGAAGGGCCTTGGGTGGCTGCTCCCTGCAAGACTGAGGAATACTCCTCTTTCCAGAGGTGATGGAATCTAAATGTAGCTGTGTGGACAGATGCCTAAGGATGGACATCAGCCTGTGTGCAATTCCAAACCCTGCATGCCTTTTAAAAGACCCATCTGAACTCCAAGGTACCAAACTAGAGCCTGATTTCCAATGTGTGTCCAGATGGGAGATTGTGATGCCTCTCCTAGTTTATGAAGGTGGAAAGGTTGAAATGTCTTGGTGTCTGAATTTCATCAAAGAAATCCTGCTCAGGATAAATCCTTGTTACTCATAACCTCATAAATTCTCAGTGTTGGTTTTCACTCAGACCTCTGAAAATGAGATCGGTACCAACAATCCTCCCGTTGGAAGCAGACATAAAATTCCTGGAAGGAGAATCCATCTATCCCTCTTAATTTAGAATTCCCAAGTCTCAGCACACACACAGCCTTTTGTGGCTCACAGAGCCATTCTGGGCTTCCTAATGTGAGCATTTCAAGGACTGAAAAGATTCATATCCACCAAGACCATTTCTTCTCTGAACCAGGGATGTTTCCACACCACAGAACAGGAAAGGGCTCCAGCTCCTTCCAACTTGCTTAAAAAAATTTATTCATTGAGTTTCAACCACCTTTGTCTTGTACTTCAAAGAAATATGTGACTGGAGATTATTATTTTATATTATTATATTGTTGCATGTTATTTTAAATTCCTCCAGCCCTTGGCAGAGTCTCTGTATTTATCTATGTCATGCATTGGATTGTTATTTCTTTCTTTAAAAGGACAGATCAGAATCCATGGCTTTTAAATCTCCTTTACTAATAGGGATAAATCAAAGGATAGTGGGAAAAATACAGGAAATAGAACAAGGTAAATAAGTAGCATGATTTGCAACAAATTATTCCCTTAACCAAATCCTTTGAAGGGCAAAATGGGATTATTTGTGCTATCAGACTACCTAACATTTATTCTTTTAACCAAAATTGTTAAAAGTCAATGTGGGTAATTTTCTTTGAAAAATCTCACTAATTCATGTTCAAAATGTTCTCTTTTTGATATCTCAAATTATTTTATTATTGGGAAAACAAAATAATTTTTTATTGTCAAAAAGACCAGAAGTCACGTTTTTGTTGTTGGTTTGTTTTTTTCCCCAAAGGGATAAAAATCATATTTAAACGTATTGTTACTGTTGTTATCTGATTTATCAGCTGATAAAAACACACAGAATATAAACTCAGATAAACGATTTTTTTATTTAAGGCACAGGAAGAACCTTTCTGTCAGTGTCTACTTAAAAAAGAGAGGAAAGCCTCTCTTTTATTGTGTAACAGCTAATTCCAGGTGGTTTTTGGTATAGCACTGCTGTGCTTAGGTGAATAATTTTTCCTCCAATGATTCCAGAGGGAACAGGACCAGGTCCTGTGTGAGTTACCCAACTATTTATGGGTATTTAGCACACTAGGGATATCCTTCATCTGTCCTGTCCAAGCAATCCTTTATCATTCTCAATCTTTATTTTTTACTTTCTCCCTTATTTTCTGATTTTCTTTCATTCTTTCTTTCTCTGTTTTTTCTCCCATTCATTCTCTTGTTTAGTTTCCTTTTTGCTCTCTTATATCTTTCTTTCTTTGTTTCTTTTCTTTCTTTTTCTTTCTCTTTCTTCCTTTCTTTCTTCCTTTCTTCCTTTCTTCCTTTCTTCCTTTCTTCCTTTCTTCCTTTCTTCCTTTCTTTCTTTTCTTTCCTTTCTTTCTCTCTTTCTTTCTCTCTCTCTCTCTTCTCCTGCTTTCTGCCTTTTTCCCTTTATCTTTCTCTCTCTTTCTCTCTCTTTCTCTTTCTTTCGCTCCCTTTCTCTCTCTTTGTCTCTTTTTTTTACCTCTCTCTTTTCCTCAAATTGTAATTTTCACCCATCTCTTACCCCCTACAGCCCAAATCCCAACATCACTATCCCAGTACCCGTCACTCTGCCCATTTTTGCAATCGTTGCTTCCTCAGCAGAGTTTATTCCCTATGGATGGGGCATGAGGGGCGTTCCATGGGGAATACAGCTGTGGAACTGGACTGAGCCTGGCTAGGAATGCCCTTGTGTCCAGACTTCTGGCTGTCTCTGAGGTGCCACATCTCCGGGTGCCACATGTCCAGAAGTGCCTCACAGAGCTGTTACCTCCACCACAGTGTCCCCAGGGCCGTGGCTCCCCTCCTCACTCCCAGCTTTCTCCTCAAACACTCTCCTCAGAGCCACTCTGACGGAGCGCTGGAAGCGGCGCCGCCGGCAGCTCCCAACCAGCACATAAATCAC